GTGTACAGTTGCACTTGGGTCCAGACTCGCCAAAAAAAAAAAAAAAAAAAAAAAATTAAAGTCTCTGGACAAGATCCCTATTTAGTAATCCATTAAGTTTAAGCCACACTGCAGGTACAAGAGTAAAGAGGAAGAGCAAAGAAGACTAGCCACAGGAAGGCTTCTCAGGAGTGCTGGCACTTACCCTCCAGCTGGAGCCACAGATAGGAGCCTCTCACTGCAGTGATGGTGGCAACACACACTTCTTCAGGGAGAAGAGGGTTCACTGCTTCAAGCTTCATGTTTTCCTTAAATTCATGCTCAGAAATTGACTAGAAAATGAATGATTCGAATGCATTTACTGGATTAACACTCAGTATTAACTCAATGTGTTCAGCTAGAAGACCTTTTTCAAGTAGTAATCCCTCTAGGTTTACTTTAAAGCTATAAATGTATTTTGTGCTCTTAGAAAATGTCTGCCCTTCTTAGTGTCATAGGCAGTATGGTCTTTCAGGTCAGGTAGTCCTGCATTACTGCTAGCTGTATGACCTTGCCCAAGCTATGTATTCTTCACCTGTCAGATGAAGTTGAGGACACCTATCTTGCTGGGTTACTACAAAGTATCAATGAAATGAGATATCTAAAGTTCTGTGTCCTGAACGACATGGCTCTCAACAACTGCTGGTTCACTACTGCTCTCATAAAGGGCCCTATCATACAATAAACTGCCTGGTTCATAACTATATGTGTTTCATAAAAGGCAGTCAGGATAAAGAATGCTTATGAACAGGAGGAAAGGGTCATATAAAATAGAAAAATTTGTAGCTTTTGGGTCAAAATGAACAAGTGAACATCTGCATTTCATTATTCTCTGACAACCAACTAAAACTAAAATTGTTTTTGTTTTTAAGGACAAATCTTACTTAACAGGATGCATACATCAGGAGAGGAAACAACAAAATTATATAAACTAAAATTAGAATAGGGTATGAAAACTAAGTTAGCATATTAATGAAAGGTATAGTAAAGAGAGCTAAGAACTGGCAGAAACAGGTACCGGGCGATTGGAAGTGGAGGAGAAATATTTAAAACAAGGATTTGCTGAAAACATTCAAGAAGCATTTAGGTTAGGCCATTGGCTCCTCCACTCTATACCCCAGGACAACTGTCCTTTTTCTCCCCCACAGAAGGTGAAATTTACCCTCTAGACAGTGTAAGACATAAGATCCCTGGGCAGGACACGAGCAACTGTTGAGGGCATGCATGTGGTGCCCAAAACAGGAGTTACCATATGGAATGCTGAGAGGCCCAGCCCTCACCTCTACTATCAGGCAGAGGACTAGAAGAGACTTTTTATGATAACATGACAAGCCCAAGAAGAGACACATAAAAATTTGGATTTAGGTTTCCTCAACAACTGGTCAGCCAGATCTCATCCTATAGGAAAGTTTAAGGTTGATAAACCCCATCCATATGTTTAGAGTTTTCAATCAGCTTTTTTAGTCCCCCATTCTTAAATATAAGCAACAACCAAGAATTGCCAGATATCTAAGGAGATAAAGGCCAGAGACCAAAACAGACAAAACAAGCAACTTGGAGAAAGCAGAGATTATGCAAGAAGAAAACTTTGGGGGTTGGATAGGGTGGGGGTGTTATTTAACATCCTTCTAAGAGGTAAGAAAAACCATTGCATCCTTAGAGCAAGAAGAATATGCTACTGAAAATAAAGAACGATTCAAAGAAGAAATATAATTCCACAAAATGAAAAACATGATATCAAAAACTAAAAATTCAAAAGAAAAGTTGAAAGAGAAAGTTTAGGAAATCTTCCAGAAAACAAAGCAAAAAAGACAAAAACAGAGAAAACAGGAGACAAAAAGGTAAGAAAAGTAGAGGTTTGATTCAGAGGGCCAACATCACAACAAAAGAAATTCCAGAAAGAGAAGAGAGAAAATGGAAGGAAGGAAATCAAAGAAGTGATTCAAGAAAATTTCCCAGCACAGACAGGCATGAGGGTCTGTCTGAGACCCTCACAGAGAAAGTGTCCACTGAGAACCCAGCACAGTGGATGAAAACAGGCCCACGTCAAGGCTCACCACCACAAAAACTGGTGACAAAATGATTCTATAACCTTCCAGGGAGGAAAAAAAGGCAGGTCATCTACAAAATTTCAAGAATAAGAATGGCTTTCAACTAACTTCTTGACAGCAACACTAGAAGTTAGAAAACAACTAAGCAATGTTTTCAATATTCTGAAGTAAAATAATTTCCAAACTAAAATTCCATATTGAGCCAAACTATGAATTTAGTAGAGTGAAGGCATTTTCAAATACACAGTGTCTACAAAAATTTACCTCCCTTGCACTCTGTTACCGGAAGCTCCTGAGAGATGGGCTCCATCAAAACAAGGAATTAAATCAAGAAAGAGGGGGCCATGAGACATATAAAACAGGGGGCCCCAAATCATGAGAAAGGGGAGAGGGCAATTCCTTGGATGACACTGAAGGGCAATTCCATGATTACAGCTACATGGCAAGCCTAGAGAGCAACCCATCCAGGGAGAGAGAGTGGAGGCTGCTATGAAGGATGCCTCTAAGAAAAATGTTAGGAATGACAGATTTGTTGGTATGACTGCTTCTGTGGAGACAGTAACGAGACACTACTGGGAGGTGTGGGAAGACCTAGCAATAGAAACAAAGAAATTAAGCAAATGAAAAATAAGGTAATCATTAACTGAGGACAAGTAAAAAAAGGAAACAATCATAAAATACTGCAGTGCTCAGCTGTGAATAATATTTGAATGCATATAATAATGTAAAAACTCAACTGAGATTTAACCAAAAATTATAATATAACTCTAAAGAAAGAAGTGGGCAAGACAGGAGAAAGGTAATGTAAAATACCTAAAGGCTCATTTACCATAATATAGAAATAAGAAACATACCTAAAATTAATGACTCAAAAGATAGCAGCTTATTATTTTGAAACCGAAGGACAATGCTGGAATTACAGTGGGAAGAACAGGAGGTGGTTACTTTTGGGAAAGGAGACTGTGCAAAGGGGTTGGGTAGGAACTGCTGTTTTATATTCTCAGCCATTTATTGCTATTTGGCCCTTTAAACCATATGCATGTATTATTTGGAGAGAAGTGTTTTTAAATAAACAATAATTTTTCTCCACTTAATATTTCAACATTTCCCCATATTATTAAATCATCAAAAATAATTATGAAATAAAATTTCAAATTCCTATGATTTCAATTACTAAGAAAAATTAAATTGATAAACTTATAAAACTAACTTAATTAGCAAACTAAATGATTAACTTCTGTAGGAAGTATACTTTTCTTTGGAACATTTTATTAGAATCACCAAGGTGCTCATCTGGGTAGAGTGAGATGATTCCCTTCAGAGTTAACAACTGTAACAAGCAAGAGAAGCACAGCAGTGACGGCAGCCCTGAAGCAGTGGCCGTGGGGGCTGCAAGGGGTTCTCACCGAAGGAAAGCACCTCTGGGGAGCAGCTTCAGCACCACACTGTTTGAGGTAGTCAGCCCAGTCAAAGTCCTGGCTTGGGTAGCCTAGGTGGGGATAAAAGAACAATGATTCACACTATACCTACTTGCCTGGCTTTACTACTCTCCCAGAGATCCACCCACAACTTCCAATGTTGCTAATTTGAGGACTTTGATCATTTTAGAGAGGGTAGAAAGCACTCTGTAAATTCAAAGCATTGTTAGTTTTATAAAAGAGAACAACTCCGGTCAAGCTATAACAATACAATGAAATTCTTTGGATAAATTTTAAAACTTTTAAATTTCAAACAAGGCATTTATTTTGAGCCTTGTTTTTATACGATTAGTTGCTGGCAATTTGCCACAAGAATTTAAGATAGTTACAACTGGATTTGATCTGTATATGTATAAATGCAGTCTTATTATCAATTCTATTAGGACTCAGGCTCTGAGGAAAAGTGATGGCAAATACTACTAGTTAATCAACAAAGACTTTTCTTTGATAAAGCTATTTCCTTAGTGTCTTAGCTACTACTGATAAAATGCTGTCAGCATTGTTTTCAGATTCATGTCCTACTACAGAATCAAAGCTTTTATAACCGCAATCATGAATCCATTTCAGGAAAAACGTTGAGCTTAACTCCCCACTTAAGTCTACCAAGGATCTTGATGGCAGCATCTCCAATCTACTGCCTTGACTCAGCAGCATCTGCACACAAGGAACTCAGTGAGGCCCAACTGTCTTCAGTGTCTGAGTTGCTCTCAGCCTCCACAGAGTGTAATGTCTCACAGGCAACAAAGCAGGCTGCTCAAGACGATGCCCTCCCACAGCCAAACAGCCCCTGCAGTCACCTTCCCTGCCCACCTGAGACTGGAGCCGCATTGTCCCTCTGCCCCCACCTCAATTCCTGACGTTTTCAATTACATAATCTACTACCTTTCTTCTATTAACAAAGATGGTTGATCTGTCTGTAACAATGCTGACAGCTCTGATATCTTTAACAATTGTTTCTTCTTTTTCACTTAAATGTAAGCAAGATAAAGAACTTGGGATGTCCAGAGCCTTCCTGAAAAGCAAGAACTTCCTTCTGTGCATGTTCCCCACCACACCCTCCAACTAGGTACTCTTACACTGTGTTCACTGACAGAGGAGAACCTGGGAAGTTCTATTAGTATTTTCCCCTATTTGCCCCTTGAAGGAACTGGGTAGTATTTATTTTTGTCTCCCCAGTGACAAGCTCAATGCTAGGCTCACAGCAAACATCCCATAAATGTTTGTTGGATGAATGAAGATTGAATGAAGGACAAAAGGTTCTGAGTTTAACACCAAAGAGTACTTCCAGCCCAGTGTTCTAGTAGTCACCATTTAGAAAGCCTACTAATAAAGTACATATAAACTGCCAATCAAATACCCTGATTTGCAAATATAAAAAATCATAAACATCTGACATTTTCCAGATATTCTAAATTTAAAAATATTAAAAATTTCAGTCAAGCTCAACTATGTCATAATTAAGAGTCTTAATAAAAGAGTCAAAGACCTATATTTTGCAAAGTTGCAAATGCCAGGAAAATGATCTGTTATTTTCCTACCTACAGGTTCTCTGAGTCCCTCTCTTGACCACAAACTTCCCTCTGAAGAGTCCTCTTCCATGATAAAGCCCAGACACCTAGAATTATCAATAATCTACCTTCTAGCTTTGGCCCTATGGCCTCTTTTCACAGCCAGCTTTCAACGCTCACTGTGCATCCTGGCCCACCTCCCTGTGACCTCCTCACAGACATAAGATGGGATGAACTAAGGAGCCAGCACAGAACCCAGGTTGGAACCTGGTCTTCTAGGTGGTTATGAAGATATCTGTATCAAAGTACAAGGACAGAACATACTCTCTTTAACTAACAGTTTTTTAGCTTGATTTTATAACTTTCAAATATGTAAATACATGGAATTCATTTATACTTGTCTCAGGCCCCTAAAATGTTAGGGACAGGCTAGGGCATGAGGAGAGGGACGAGGCAATGCCATCTGACACATCTTATTTCAAGAAAAAGCTCTCCAGTAACAACTCAGAAAACAGTGAATGCACACCCGGAGGGGGGCTGATATGTAGGCCATTCTTCAGACTCCACTGCACAGGGAAGATGCCAGGACTGTCGGCATGGCATACAAAGGATCGCCGCACGTGGTCCTCAGGCCGCAAATCGTCCATTTCCACCAGAAAGTACTTCTCATCAAACACCTGTGTGTGCAATTAACAGATAAAACAGGCAAATGGTTTCATATGTATGTATATGTACACTGAGTATGTGTGTATATGTATACATGTACACATATACATGTGTTTCTCCCTTGGCACGGCCAAACATTACAAAAGTTCATAGTCCCGAAGTAGTAATAATACTAAACACTCAGTAAATGCTAGTTCTGTGTCATATAATACTGCAGTCCCCAACCCCTGGGCTGTGGACTGGTTCTGGGCTGTGGTCTGTCAGGGACCAGGTCGGAGATCTCCGCCACCCTCCGACCCCCTGCCCTGCCCGTTCATGGAAAAATTATCTTCCATGAAACTTAGGAAATGGGTGTGGGGGTGGCACATAGCAGGAGGTGAGGAGCAGGCAAGCAAAGCTTCAAAGCTTCATCTGTATTTACAGCCACTCCCGATTGCTGGCATCAACCCCTGAGCCCTGCCTCCCTCCCCCATCTACCCCAGTGTGGAAAAATTTTCTTCCGTGAAACTGGTCCCTGGTGTCGAAAAGGTTGGGAACCACTGATAATATATAAACATATAATTACTGTTTTAATTAAATGCTTTCATGTATCAATTCAATTTTAATCTTTCTAACAATCTAATGAGGTAAGTACCATTACCAATTCCATTTTGCAGGTAAGGAAAATGAGTTTGAAGAGAATTTAATAACTTGCCCTAGGCTTCAAAGCCAGGAAAAAGCAGAACCTGGATTCAAACCCAAGTAGTTAGTCTCTAAACAAAATTTAGTTAAAGCTTAGTGAGGAATCAACTACACCAGCATGTATTAGTTTTTCAGATCCTAGCTAGCCCAGATTCAAATGCCAAAGAGAGAATTTTTTGAACCTCCTCTGACTTCTTACCATCCCACATCCCTTCATACTCCAAATAGGGCCTTCTGACCCCACCTGCAGGTTCAGAATCCCTTTCTCTGAGAATCTTCTTCTAAGACAGGGAAAATTTAAATCTTAACAGGTCAGATGATTCAGCATCCAAGTGACTATTCCCATAGTCACATTCAACTTTGGGTTCTACTTTCAACTTTGGTTCTATTTCTACTCTAGTCCTAAACTGAAACCTACTCCCTAATGCCTCAGTTGGAGTGATTGAGTAAGTAGGCTTTGATAACCTGCTCAATTCTTGTGGTTACCCAACAAGAGCCTTATTTTTTTTTTTTAGAGACAGAGTCTTGCTCTATCACCCTGGGTAGAGTGCAGTGGTGTCACATAGCTCACTGCAACCTCAAACTCCTGGGCTCAAGCTATCTTCCTGCCTCAGCCTCCTGAGTAGCTGGGAGAATAGGTGCACACCACCACACCCAGCTAATTTTTTCTATTTCTGGTAGAGAAAGGGTCTTGCTCTTGGTCAGGCTGGTCTTGCTCAAACTCCTGACCTTGAGCGATCCTCCTGCCTCGGCCTCCCAGAGTGCTAAAAGTACAGGTGTGAGCCATGGCATCCTGAGCCTTACTTTTGTCAATCTTTCAAAAGATTAAAATCTGAATCTGGAGCACATGGCTAGAGTCATCCTACTACCAGATCTTGTAACACTAATTGCCTGATCCCCATGCATCTCCTCATCTCAATGAGCTGTGCACCTGTTTGGACACTAATGACATTACCTGCCTCCAACTTTACAGATACCGTGGCCTACCTACCAGTTAAATCTCCTTCACCTATATACAGCTAGGCCTGCTCCAAAGAACATGTCTCCCACTACTCTAGTGCCCAGGCCCTTGTCTGCTTTGGCTAGGACTACTAAGCTCCAAGAAGGAATGGGCCACAGAGAACTGGATAATACAAATACAGAAGTAATTCTAGCCTCACAGCTTAAGAGGAAAAATAGGTTAGATTAGTAGAGTCTGAAGATCAAAACACCACCAATTTTCTAAACTAGTCACCCTGACAAGGATTCTTACCAATAGGGAGAGTTATGTTCATTTTACCTTAACAACTGTAGCAGGAGAGATCCCAAAAGGAGACCAGGGGTCCACTGCTTCCAATTTCATATTTACAGCAAACGTATGATTGCCAATAACTTGTTTGTCCTGTAACGCAAACACGAAAAGGGATAAAAACACAGTATTTTTGCATTCATTTTATACTTACATGTAGTTGAATACTATTCTAATTGATTAAAATAGTGGAACTGTTTAGCTTTCTTCACAGGAAAAAACTTTTTGGGTAAAAACAAAACCAAAGAAAGTGCTCCTATTCTCTACATTTCAGAACACAACGTGGGATTATCTGGAGGTAAAAACAAATTAATTAATTAATATTCATATGCATAGGCCGATGTATAATTTGGAAAAGAAAACTGAATGGCTTCAGGTCCATTTAACCAAAACAGTGAAACTTTAATTGGATCAGAATTACACCTGTCAAGGATCTGGGTAGTACACTTCTCTTTATAGCACCAATTCCTTCTGAGGGGCACTTCACTAGCCATCTGTGTAAGTGCTCCAGCTCCCCCCAGACTGGCTATACGGATGTCCCAAGCATGGTCACATCAACATCAATGTCCAGGCATACTCAGGGCTCAGAATTCTGGTACAGTATCACTTTTTCCACCACCCCTTTATATTCCACAAGGGTGTTATAGCCAGCAGGTTAAGTCTCCCCTCCCCACCTCCACTGAACCCTGGAAAACCCTAGTGTGCCTTTTTACAGCTCCTCTTTCTTGGCCCCTTTTTTCTGGAAGGCAGTCAGGATGTTTACGCTCTTCTGGAGCTCCTCCTTCTTTCCACTGCTCATCATGTTCTTTTCTATCAGTCTGGTGATCCCGGTCATCTCTGATGCTAGGAAGTCCACCCCTTGGTCTAAGATCTTCCCCATGATCTTTGGGTATTGCTGGGCCTACTTCGTCTGTCTCCTTCACATCTGAGAGGTTGTCACGCCCCTGCTTCAAGAGTACCTGTTGGGCCTCCACGCCAGAGGCCCTGATGAACTCCCCAGCCAGGGCGTCATATGCAGGTAGGCAACCAGGCATACCTAGGTAGACCCCTTGCCCTCTTCACCAGTGCTGGATGGCACAAACCACAACTGCCCCACTATATGGGACTGGATTCTCAAAGTCCCCATCCTGGAAGAGGCAGAGGTAGAAGACTGGATAGCTCTCTTTGTCCAGCTTGTATTTCTCACTCGGCTCCATGTTCAACTTGTCACCATAACCAGAGATCCCACTTCTGCCACCAAGAGATCATCACTGGAAGCCGAGTTTTCAGCAAGATGCTTGAACTTATCCTGCTTCTTACTGTAGAGGTACTGCATGTCAAACTTTACCAAGACGAACTTGCTTTCAGGAATGACCTTGTAAAAAGTGACTGTATCCAGAGGAAGGGCGCCCTTGGTGTGCAGGCTGCTGCTCTCATGCAGAGCACAGAGAAGCAGGAGGCCCCGAAGGAAAGGCAGTGGGGAGAGAGAAGTGGCACAGGGGACAGTGGCAGCCATAATGCCGGATTTCAGGAGCAGGAAGTAGAAACCTGTAGTCCCAAATTTATTTTATAACAAGCTAGAGCTATGTAGTTAAGAGTAGAAAAGAAAAGATTCAAACTACTGTAAGAGAACTTGGGGAGAAAATCAAGACAACTGTTAGAAGAAAACAAGGATGATCATCATTCTAGCCTTAACACCTTCTAATCTTTCAGAAGTCATGGCACTCTTACTAACTGCAGGGGTTATGTTATGCTTTCACCTCCCCAAATTGTTTTACTCTGCTATAAGGAGAGTAATACCTATCTGTCACATGTTTTTGTTTTTACCTTAAATAAGTAAGATGGTAATGGCTCTTCTTCCTCCTCTTTCACTTTGGCCAAAATCTCTTGCCACTCAGCTTCATTTTTCAGATGTCTAATGGCTTTAATAAAACAAGACAGCATGCTTTAGATGATGAGAAAACCTATACACTTTTTAATTGTTCTGAAAGCACTCACATAAACAAAAAAAGTCACTTTCCACTGGGATGAGCAAGGAAAGGGTTCAAGCACACTTATATCTGTTTTCATTCAAAGAACTTGCACCTTAACCTCAGCATTCTGCTCTGTGCAGAGTCTAGACAGTTAAGTTTTGTGAAATACCTACAGTAAAGATCATAAGGTTTGCTGTAATACATAAAATAATATAATACAACACGCAAATTGGGGCACAGAATAGTAAGTACAAATTGATTTAAATAATAACTCCAGTTTTAATATTATTAGAATTTCTTTTAATCAACAATTTGCTATGAATCCAATCTGCCGTATACCTATCTAAATGCTACCTAGAGAATTTTTTCTTTATTTTATTTTGGTGAGGGTTCAGTATGGGTTGGGGCAGAAGTCTATGAGATATATCAATATGTGTGGAAAATTATAAAAGCAATAAAACCAAAAGAAAAATAGGCACTTAACTTAACAATTCCATATAAACATGTTTGTAACATCTCTATTAGGTAAACTAGTAAAGGTTTTCATAATATACGGAATAATACATTTTTCAGTCTAATAGGTATTAATGATAACATAAAAATAATGTAATAGTTACAAGAAAAATGTTCTATTACTGTTCACCTAATGGGGGCTGAAGCTCATATCCCTGTTGAGCGGCCCAACCAACATGATGAAGAAATGGATCCAAGTAATACAACCAATGTTCAAAATTGTCAGAACTTTCAAGTCCTTCATAATGCAGCTTTAGCCTTCCGCCAATGTTTTCTACTACAGTAACAATCCAAGTGCTTAAAGAGTCCCGGAAAGCTTGACACTCTAGCCTGGATCCTGGAGCAATGAGATCTAAAGGATTCCTCCCATTACGGAGCTGTAGGTTTAAAAAGTGAAATGATTAAATAAGACAAGTAAATATAATATATTTAAAAAGCCAAGTTCTAAATGATCTCAAATCAGTCTTTGTATTTTCTATGCATGCAAAAGCCAGTGACATTGAATTGTCTACTATCACACAAATCTCTTACAGTATTATTTCCAAGTGATATGAAAATGTTTATCTTAAAGAAAATCTACCAATAATGCAATAAAATTATTCTAATAGATCTTTCTCTAGGTCTATGTTTAGTTTCATTTAGCAAAAATTTTAAAAATATCATTACTTTATCTCCGATTATAAAAGCAAGTATGATCATCATTAAAGAAAAAATTCAAACATAACAAATGTCAAAGTCCCCCATAAGCCCAATTCTAAGAAAGAACCATGATAAACCATGATAAACACTTTGGCATACACTCTTTTTCTACACACAGTCAATATCCACCTCTGCTAGTCTGTCCATCTGTCTCTCTCTCTTATTTTTTGAAAAATAGGAGCACTGTATACCGCTTTTCAATTTGTTTTTCACTTAGTACATCATAGGTATCTTTCTACTACAGCACATACAAATCTTTCTCATATTTTACAGTGTTTTATGATATTCTGTATTATATGGGCAATAATTTATCCACTTACCTACTGATGGCATTCAGTTGTTTCTGATTTTTTTTACTCATTTCATAAAAATGTTCTTCTTTTTTTTATTTGAGACAGGGTCTCTCTCAGATACACAGGCTAGAGTGCAGTGGTGTCACCATAGCTCACTACACCTCAAACTCCTGGGCTTAAGCAATCCTCCTGCCTCGGCCTCCCAAATAGCTGGGACTACAGGTGTGCGCCACCACACCTGGCTCATTTTTCTATTTTTTGTAGAGACGGGGTCTCGCTGTTGCTCAGGCTAGTCTCGAACTCCTGATCTCAAGTGATCCTCCCGCCTCGGCCTCCCAGAGTGCTAGGATTACAGGCATGAGCCACCGCGCCCAGCCTTCATTTCATAACAATGTTCTAATGAACACAGTAAAAGCTTTTGATTACATTGATGGAAATGAAAAGTTTAACTCTATCTAGATATATATTTAAAACTACACCAAAGAATAGAAAAGAAACACTTATTCTGAAGTTATCACAAAGTTATCACTTAACCATTTCTTAATATTCAACCTTACATTTTGTTGGTATTAGCAACTGCTCTGTGACACTTACATACCCAGATATATTATACAAAAGAACATATGAACAAATGGAGGAACACAATCACAGCAGAAAGTTAAATTAGCAGAAACACGGTCAATGCAGAGCAGGACAGTTTATCAATTCATTTGTTCATCACTTCATTCATTCCTTCAAATTTTACTGAGTGTTTAATATGTGCCATGCCCTGGCTAAGCATAACGAAATGAATCAGAATATAAAAAATAAATAACAGCTTGAAATAGAGTGTTCGCCAATCAAGATTTAAAAGGGAATGTGAATGGATCATAGAAACAAATGTAAGGGCTAAACCTATAAACCTCTTAGACAAAAATATAGAGGTAAATCTTCTTGACCTTGGATTAAGCAAAGCATTCTTAGATATGATACCAAAAGCATGAGCAACAAGAAGAGAAAGTAGATAAACTGGAGCATGTCAAAGTAAAAATTTTTTATGCTGCAAATGATAAAAAGACAACCACAGAATGGGAAAAAATATTTGTAAATCATATCTGATCTGTACTTGTGTCCAGAATGTATAAAAAGGCAAATAACCCAATTTAAAAATGGGCAAAGACATTTCTCCAAAAAAGATACATAAATGGCCCATAAGCACTCCAAAAAAAAAAAAAACAAACCATGGTCAATATCATTAGCCATTAGGGAAATGCCAATCAAAATGAGATACCACTTTATACACACTAGGACAGCTATCACAAAAAAGATAACAAGTGTTGGCAAGGATGTAGAGAAATTGGAACCGTCATATATTGCATTTATATATGCCACAAAGAATTTTACCAGTATGACAGAAAGTGACAAGACATAACTTTGAAATGTCATAACTAATAAATTCATTTCACAAAGTCAAGAAATCTATATTCACTAATAAGCTCAAAAGCTACACTAATTTTAAAAGACTGCTAGAAGAAGGTAGGAAATAGGAATACAATGGGTCCAGTGTCTTCTGAGCAAAAGACAAGGGGGTTTCAAGTCACCTGGCATGGAAGTTACAAATGTCCACCCTGAAGTAGAATCAACCCCTGCTTAGTTCCAGAATGAAAGCCTCAAAAGGCCTCATTTTCCAACTGTGTAAAAGAATCTGGAAAACTAGATTTTTATGTGTTAGCAACTAATTCAGAAAATTTTTAAGCACTGAGCAAGCCACCAGTTTGCAACCTCTGAGGGTAAGTTTAAAAAACCTTTGCCTATGTCTCTAGTAAGAATGTTTATTTGCTTCAGAGTGGTAAATTAGTAACCAATTTTCAGATTTCTTGGAAGATTAAATGGGTTTTCCACACTGATTCGGCATGCAGTAATACTCACGCCCTCTAGCAGTGGAACAGGAGGACTACATGCTCCCATCAAAGTCTGCCGCAGAAACTCATCCCAGTCAGACACTTTATCTTTGATGCCTAGATGAGGAAATACATGACTGATTACTCATAATGTGAGCCACAGAACACAGAGAAACTATTGGAAATGGTTTAGAGGTGTATTTGTCATTTTAAGATCCAAGAATCCAACGGATTGCTTCTTTGAGAGCTTGAAAAGACAACACAAAACAAAACAGAAATCCTTCTCTAGATAGAGCTACTTTCTGGTTAAGTTTAGTAAATGTTGTATACAAAACAAAGAGAATAGGCCCAACTCCCTTTACTATAATTTTATCCAAAGGTGACTACTTTATTTTTTATTATGGAAAATTTCAAACATACATTAAGTAGAGAAAATGGTTTAATGAATGTTCATGTACCCTAGCTTCAACAACTGTCACCTCACAGCACTGTTTCATCTAGGACAGGAGTTAGCAAGCTACAACTTGTGGGCTAAATCTAGCCTGCTGTCTATGTTTGTAAATAAAATTTACAAAGTTTACTGAAACGTGGCCATACCCATTTGTTTACATATTATCTGTTGCTGCTTTCACACTACAAAGGCAGAGTTGAACAGCTGTGAAAGAGATCATATGCCCAGTAAAAGCTAAAATATTTACTACCTGGCCCTTTAAAACAAATAATTTGCCAACACACCTGGCCTATATACTCTCACATACTCCACCCCTGCCCAAACCAAGGATCATTTAGAAGACAATTCCAGATATCATATAATTTCATCCATATATATTTCTAAAAGAATATAAATTTTTACATACTATAACACCACTATAATACCATCATTCATACCTTAAAAAAATTAACAATAATTCCTTAATATCAAATATCCAGTCTATGTTCAAATTTCCCCAATTGTTTCATAAATGGTTTTTTCAATTTGTTTGATCAAATCAGAATCCAAGTAATATCCATACATTGCAAATGCTTGATATATCACCTAGATTTCTTTTTAATTTGTAGGTTCCTTCTACTTCCTTCCCTCCTCTCTCTCTTTTTTTACAGTACATTTGTTGAGAGATTCAGCCTCTGTCCTATATAGAGTTTTTCAGAGTCTGGTTTCATTGGTTGCCTTCCTGTGGTAACCCAATTGTTCTACTATCCCTTATATTTTCTATAAAGCAGTATTTAGAGCCAGAAGCTTGATCAAATTCAGGAAGGAGTGGTAAGGAGGCAAGAATACTTCATAAGTGGAGTTATAGCCTCCCATCAACAGGCACAAACAGTCTGGCTGTCTCTCTTTTTGTGACATTAGCAGCTTTTAATGGTAACTGCATAGATGCATTGATTCATTAGAGGTTAAAGATGGTGGATATTCTATCATTGCTCCTTCAATTACTAACCAAAATGCTTCTATAAAGAAAAACTTCTCTTCACCAATTATTTGATTACCCGGAGGTAGAGTTCACACACACACAAAAAGGCAAAACACATGCTTGATTGTCTTTATTATTTCTGCATATTTACCAGCCTTCAAAATCATCAGTTAGTTCCCTGGCATCGTCCAAAGGCGACCAGTAAGGGTTCTGTTTTAAAAATTCATTATGAAGTCACAGATTATAATACATTTCAAGCCACTGCAGATATTGTCCTTATTGACACTCAAACTATCCCATCTTTATCCAGAGTGAGTCATTCAGGTTGGTTCCTGAACCCTTTTGACATGCACTAGTAAATAGTCATTGATATCTTTTTTTCTTCTTGGCATGACATGATGTTCTAGGCTCATGTTGTATATTTCCTGCCCAAGTCCAGGCATCAGCTACTTCTCTAAGAAGCCCCAATTTGTTTCAGTAAAAGTGGTATTTAGAGATCATTTAATTGGGGTGCTGGGAGTGCTCACTGCTACTGCGTTAGCATTTCTAAGCCTTTCCAGCATCTAGAACTAACAAATTTCTCCTTTTTCTTCTTCTTCCTTCCCTTTCTACTTCCGTCCTCCCTTTCTTCTTCCGCTTCTTAAGATAAATCATATTAGGAAGCTTCCAATACAAATTCAGAAAGATAGTGCTTTTACTTAAGCTCATCTTTCTAAGCTCTATTTCCTTTCTATCATGCTGAAAAACCTAATCCCAATTATACATTTAATTATCAATTTGCTTGACCCACAATACATAAATATGTCAAAGTAACAAGATCAACCCAACCACCAATAACATGATTACTAAAAACAGCTTAAGATTTTTTAATTATTTTTTTAGAGACATGGTCTTGCTCTGTCGCCAAGGCTTGTGTCACTGTAACCTCCAATTCTTGGTTTCAAGCGATCCTCCTGCCTCAGCCTCCCAAGTAAATGGGACTACAGGAGCACACCAGCATGCCCGGTTAATTTTTTATTTTTTATAAAGATGGAGGTATCTCTATGTTGCCAAGGCTGGTCTCGAACTCCTGGCCTCAAGCAATCTTCCCACCTCGGTTTCTCAAAGTGCTGGGATTACTATGTGCATGAGCCACTGTGCCCAGCTAGATTTTTTTTTTCTTACATTTTTGTTGTTGTTGACGTTCCAGTATGTCCCTACTATACATTCAAATTATTGTATTTTAGTCACTGAGTTCTCTGTGCGGTCATCCCATAAGCTCCACACAGTTTAGATGTCTTTGATTCTGCTTTTGCTTTTCAGGAATTGTTTTTAAACATTTAATTTTGCTTTATAGTTATATAAAATATTTATAAGGTACAAAAGTCAAATCTAAAAAATAGGGTATATTTGAAAATCTAGCTTCTACCCCTATCCCTTCATTCTATTCCCTCATTTCCTCACGGGTAATTTTTCTAAATGATTTATTCTATTATTTTGAAAAAAATAAGTTCATGTACACACACATTCATACAACTCTTCTCCCCCCTAATTCTGTACTCCTTTTTCTTTTTTTTCCATATAACAATATATCCCGGAGATCACTCCTTGGTTGTATGTAGATGGTCCTCATTCCTTTTCACTGATGAGTGTAGCTGCCACTGATATAAAGTATCCTTCTTTGTGTCTTGTAATGCCTTCTAATCTGAATTCCAACTCTGTCAGATATTAAGACAGACTGCTAGTTTCTTTTTTTTTTTTTTTGAGACAGAGTCTCACTTTGTTGCCCTGGCTAGAGTGACTGCCGTGGCGTCAGCCTAGCTCACAGCAACCTCAAACTCCTGGGCTCAAGCAATCCTACTGCCTCAGCCTCCCAAGTAGCTGGGACTACAGGCATGCGCCACCATGCCCGGCTAATTTTTTCTATATATTTTTAGCTGAGACGGGGTCTCGCTCTTGCTCAGGCTGGTCTCGAACTCCTGAGCTCAAACAATCCGCCTGCCTCGGCCTCCCACAGTACTAGGATTACAGGCGTGAGCCACCGCGCCCGGCCCCTAGTTTCTTTTCTATTAGCATTTGTTGGTGTATCTTTGTCCGTCCTTTTATTTTTACCCTGTCAGAGTCTCTCTGTTTAGGTACGTCTCCTGTACGTAGGACAAAAGTGAACTTTGCTTTGTGAGCCAATCTGAGTTTATTGATATTATTCTCTTAAACCGCTAATGGGAGAGTAAACCTATTAACGTTTATTGATATTATCAACATGCATGGCCTAAATTCTGTCACATTGTTAAACGCTATATAAATTTTGTGTATGTTGGTGTGTGCAGTTTTCACCAATCCATTTGCACATATACATTCTTTTGGCATATAGAAAGGTTTGTATTTTTGTTCTACTGATTACCTTTATACTAACACCTTTATATAACACTTTTAGTCCTCTCTATTTTTTAGACTGTTTTCTATTTTTTGTTTGTTTCTATAAACAATACTAAAGTTAGTTATAACCTCCTTTTTCTCCTCTCCTTCAGCATCTTATTTCAGGTAATATTCTTTTACTCCCAATTAACACTTAAAAGGTAATTAGTTAAATTACACAGCAATAAAGCTGGGTTTTTAAAAAATTTTTTAAAATATTTTTATCTGACAGTGTTCATCTCTTTTGTGGTTATATTTCTCTGGAAGGATTTCATTCTACTATTTTTTTAGTTATAATAATCTTACATAGGAGTCAACTGAAATCCTTTTCTGTTGTTCATGTTTAAATGAGATGCATTTTCCTACGCTTACAGGATGAGACGGTGGGCCTGGTGGGCCAGGTAGCTTCATATCTCTAGAGCTCCCCCTTGTGTTATTTTTCACAAAGTAAAAAATTTTCACAAAGCTGAAGTCCACAGACCCTAATCCCAGAATCCCAATACTCAGATCTTCATTTTAAGTACACTTCTTCACTAAAAGAAAGCAGGATTTTTTGGGGAAATGGTTAAATTCAGGGCTGAGACAGGGAAATGCTTCTTGACCCCCAAAATAAGAAACTGCTCAAGTAATGACAGAGACATACCAAAAGGACACATTAGCCAGCTTAAAGAGATACCCACTCACCAAATCTAGGGTAGTTTCAGCAAAAAAATAAATAACAATAGCAAAGGATTATAACCCATTGAATAAAATCAGAATCAGGAGTCCACACTGACATGCATACCTACATATACACACACATACCTAAATGGACGAAAACGGAAAGCTCTTTCTATAGTAGAAAGCCAATTTAAAAATGTAGCAGAAGTTTGAAAAACACTATTTGCTAACCACTGGAGTAATAATTGTTTCAAATAAAACTTATCAATGGATGCTACGAATAGTGGGTCAAAGTTTAAAGAGTAATGGGATATTTTCATAATATCTAAGTATCTTCCCACGAGATTCTAATTAATTAAAAAGGGGGAAAGAATACTTTCATAATGGAAAAACACGGCATATACAAATCTAATAAAGTGATGGAAGTTAATATCATCAGGAACAGGACAAATCAATAGCATGTATATCCTGATGTAATGCACTGAAAGGACACAGCTTCTGTATTTTTCCTACCAAAAGTGCAGAATCTGAATATAAGGAAACATAAGACAAACCCGAATGGCGGGAAATTCCACAGAATAAGTGGCCTATACCCTTCAAAAATGTCAAGACCAAAAAAGACAAAGACAAAGAAAATTAAAGAGATATGGCAACTAAATGCAATGTGATCCTGGACTGGATACTAGACCAGGAAAAGAAATAGAGCACAATGACCATTATTGGGACCAGGACATAATGAACATTGGGAAAATTGGCCTGTATCTTTCAAAACTTCAAAATCATAAAAGACAAAGCCTGAGGAACTGTTTCAGATTAAAGGAAACTTATAAGACATGACAACTGAATATAACACATGATCTGGGATTTCCTTTTATTAAAAAACAGTTATTGGAACAACTGGCAAAAACTGCATAAGGGCTGCAGATTAAATAATATTGTTACATCAAAGATAATTTCCTGATTTTGATATTTTACTGTACTCATGACTGCCTTGTTTACAGAAATACATTAAAGTATTTATAAGTAAAAGGCCATCATGTCTAACACTGACTCTCAAATCGTTCATTAGAAGAGCATATTTGGGTGGGAGAGGATAAATCAAATGTAATAAAACGTCAACATTTGGGGAAACGTGACAAAACATTTCGAAGAATTTTCTATACTATTCTTGCAACTTTTCTGTAAATCTGAAATTATATCAAAATAAGAAGTTAAAAGAAAAATATATAAAGTCTGGTATTTTCTTAAATCTGTAGTCTCTCTTACCTTTCCCCATCTTTATCTCACCCTTCTCTTTCTTTTGTCTTTATTGTCTCTCCCCTGCTTAATTTGGATTCTACTCCAAGTTGGGCTCCTTCCTGGAATGGAGCTTCAGTTGGTTCATTTTAAGAGTTCATAGTTCCCAGATTGCTTGGGGGTAAGAGGAGAGAGGACAATAAAAACAGAAAGAGAATCAACAGCACATCAATCTGGCTCAACATACTTAAAAACAACCAGACCTACAAGTCTCAAACTCAGAGTGCCTCACAGTCTTAAAGGATGATAAGCTACTGATGCTCCCTATCAGCAGCATCATAAAAACCTGAGACTTCATGGAGTACACAAGATAATTTTAAAAGATATGGAAATGTGCACTATTCTTTATAAGTATTTTCATCCAAAATGCTAACCTAGAAAAGTTGGATAAGCCTATGTGCTTGGGAGACTGAAAACATCAAGGCTGTGGACAATCCAAATTTTCTTATAGCAATATCATATCATATCTTGATAGGAAGCATTTTATTACCTTCTGGAGCTTCGAGGGTCTTCTTATTCTGTTCACACCATCCAATGGGGTAGAGATCAGCCTTCCTGATGTCACACCAGAAATCTGCTCTCCGGTCATCCCCATAGCCATCATAGCGGAGAAGGAGTAACTGCTCACAGGTGGTAATAATGGTGGCAACCCAGTAGGTTTCAGGATCTGTTCTCACAGCCACTTCCAGCTTCATCCCAGGAGCAAATCCATTTTGCAAACGTATGTCCACCTAAACAGGGAAATATGGGTAAGCACCAGGCAAGTATCTTAAATGAGTATTTCTCATTCGTTTTTAACACTTAAAATACTGAAGCACTAAGTGCCATAATATATTCTCAAGACAAACCTGAGAAATTCCAACTCTAACTCGTAGGAGTGATCCAAACAAAAAGAAGGAATCACAATGCTGCTATGTTCCATCTGACAATGAAGGAACTCAATATTTTCACCAAAGCAGCCTATTACAATTATAGAAAATGTTTTCTATTAAGTATACAAATTACTGAATAGTCACCATTTTAACAGCCCTCAACACGTTGTTTTCAACAGTGATTTCTGGATCACTCAATAGAAAATTTATGAGGCTAGAAAAGGGAAAAGACAAAAATAAGCTGTAATGATAACAAATTAGTGTAATATCTACCATACACAGCAAGCCATATTTCCCAATTTCTCTAAAATGGTCTATATTTCCATCAGTTATCCTTGAATAATAATTGATAATGTCCAACCTTTCTCTCTCAAAAGTGTTCTAATTTAGATGAAGAATTATATGGTCACAAAGGTACAGTAATGTTAGGGTCTGGAACTATTTTATGTGTATCCTAAAATTAAATAAATAAATATACTATGGATAATGAGAGATAAGTTTCTCACTGTGACAGAAAGAAGTTACAAATAAGAAAGGGGGAAGACTAGAATGAACCCTGTGGTGTTGGATTGGAATCAGAGGTACCTGAATGAGGACAGGATGATTGAAAGATAGATGGATAGATGAACAGATGAAAGTTAATAGAGACAGAGAAAGTAAAGATATATATGCATGTGTTTATATGTAGATATACATATATCTTCTACCACTGTGAAATGAGAGGGACATGAATAATGATATCCAGTAGCAATAAGCAAATTTAGAGTCCAAATTTTGATTTCTAAATACCCTCTTCCAATACAAAAGAACAAGGGCTTCATGGAAAAATGACTTATTCCAATCCAGGGTAGGGAAAATATAATAAGAGCCTGGAATATCTCATGATGCCAGAAAGTAAGGAAATGATCAAAAAATGATGGGGGCATGCTGAAAGGACACAGAAAGACAACCAGAAGGATCTCCCAATGGCCACATTGGGGACAATATGAGCAATAAAATAAATAATGAGAGTAATGGATTATAATTTATATATTTAAACAAATATCCATGAGTCCACACTGATAAAAATAAACAAAGAGGGAAGAGGGGACAGATCTTCCTTAGAATATAAAATCAATTAATAAATACAGAAAAAAATAATGGAAATAGAAAATTACCATTAGATAAACACCACAGAAATAAACACTGCAAGCACGAATCATTGTTGGATGCTAAAATACTATGATGAGAAACAGGGTATTTGCATAATCTCAAAGGTTCTCCCAGGAAGATTCTTATTAATTGCAAAGGGGAAAACAGTAACATTACAGTGAAGAAATCACTTTAACTAAATGATCAAAGTTAACATCACAAATCCTAAAACATCAATACCATGTACCTTTGATATCATACAAGATACGCACATCATCATTCCTATGATATTATGGTCAAATCTGCATAAAGTCAATCCAATCATGAGAAAAAAGCAAATCCAAATTGAAGAATATTCCACAAAATAACTAACATGCAATGGAGGCTCTCCAAAAGTGTCAAGACCATGAAAGACAAAGAATAAGGAACTGTCATATACTTGAGGAGACTATGGAAACATGACAAATAAATGCACATGGCAATCACAACCACCAGAAAGTGAGAGTAGAGTCCTGGAAGAGAACCAGAGAGACAAAGTCCTGTACTCTGTGTATAACTTCTTTCCCCTTCTAGTCACCATCCTGTTCTACTACTGAAAGGTAACCACTATCCTGGTTGAATATTGCCTATGTTTTGGCACTATGTTAGTGAAATTATACTGTATGAATATTCTTAAGCGGAGATTCTCTTGCCAAACATTGCTTATGTTTCATGTAACAGTAGTTTATGTCTTTTCACTATTGTATAGTATTTCACTATACGAATATGCCACAATTTATTCTTTTTACTGCTACTAATACTAGGTGTTTGGGCAGTTCACAGTTTTGGGAGGCTACAAATAATGATGCCATGAACATTTTATGCATGTCCTTTCGTGCATATATAATACATGAAATTCTATAAAAGATACAACCAAACTGTTTTCCAAAGTAATTGCATGAATTTATTTTCCCAATAGTGTACAAGAAATCCTTTTGTTCTATTCTAACCAACACTTTTGTATTTTCAGTCTTTTTTATTTTTAACCATTTTAGAACGTGTATTATATATTTTACTGTGATTTTAATTTGTATTATCTGAATGTTATTAAAGTTGAGAACCTTTACATTTATTAGCCATTTAGAGTTCCTCTTTTGGGAAATGCCTAAGTTCCTTACACATTTTTTTAATTCACTCTGTATTTTGAATATTAGTTCTTTGACACTATTTGCATTGCAAATGTCTCATTTTCATGATGGTGTTTTTTGATGAACAGAACTTTAATGTAGTCCAATTCACGAATATTTTCCTTTAAAAAAATTAGTGCTTTTCCTGTGTTTTTAAATAAATCTTTCTTTACTCCTAGACATCATAAAGATGATATGCTATATTATTTTCTACAAGCCTTTCTTTTTTGTTTTTTGAAACAGTGTCTAGCTCTGTTGCCCAAGCTAGAGTGCAGTGGTATCATCATTGTTCATTATCATCTCAAATTCCTGGGTTCAAGCCATCCTCCCACCTCAGCCTCCCGAGTAGCTGGGACTACAGGTGCACTCGGCCCCCATACACAGAGATTACCACCAGGTGGATACTAGTTCTAAATATGAAAGACTTCTTGGCCAGGCACAGTGATTTATGTCTGTAATCCTAGCACTTTGGGAGGCTGAGGTGGGAGGATTGCTGGGAACCCAGGAGTTGGAGACCAGCTCTGGGCAACATAGTGAGACTCAATCTCTACAAAAAAAAATTGGCCAGGTGTGGTGGCACGCACCTGTAGTCCTAGCTATTCAGAAGTTGAGTTAGGAGGACCTCTGAAGCCCATGGGTTCAAGGCTGTAGTGAACTATGATCGTGCCACCGCTCTACTGCCTGGGTGATAAAGCGAGACCCTGTCTCAAAAAAACAATCTCTGTATATGAAGTTAAATAGGGGTCAAGTTTTATTTGTTTCAATATGTATATACAATTAAACCAGCGCCTTTCCCAACTACTACAAATCACCACCTTTGTTATAAATCAAGTGTCCCTACAAAAGTGGATCTGATTCTGGTATGTCTTTCATTAGAGTAGCACTACACTGTCTTTATTAAATTTGGTATCTAGTACAGCAAGTTTTCTTGTTTTGTCTTATTCTTTAGGTGTGTCTGGCTATCCTTGGTCTTTTATATATTCATATAAACTTTGGAATCAGCTTGTCAATTTCTACCTAAAATTTAATTTGGGGGGGATTTGATTTGATTACAGTAAATATACAAATTTATTTAGGGACAACTGACATCTTTACAATAGTGACTCTCTCACTGCATTAACAAGATATAGCCCTTCATTTACATAGGTCTTTTAATGATTTGGAGTTTCCTTGCAAATTTTTGTTACATTTAATCCTAGACATTTGATGTTTTTGATGTTACTGTATTTTCATTTAGTTCAACATATTTCTAAATTTTCTCTTGAGATTTCTTCCTTGACCTATGTGTTATTTGGAAGTGTATTGTTTAAGCCCTAAGTATCTGAGGATTTTCCTGCTACCTCTCTGTTATTGATTTCTAGTTTAGTTCCACTGTGGTCTGAGAGCAGACAATGTATGATTTCTATTCTTTTAAATTTGTTAAGGTGTGTTTTATGACCCAGAATGTGGTTTATCTTTGTGAATGCTCCACGAGAGCTTGAGAAGAACGTATATCCTACTGTTGCTAGACAAAGCAGTCTACAGATGTCCAGCATATCCAGTTGATTGACACTGTTACTAAGCTCAACCATGTCCTTACTGATTTTCTGCTGTTGGATCTGTCCATTTCTGAAAGGAGGGTATTGAATTCTCTAACTCTAATATTTGGATTCATCTGTTTCTCACTGCAGTTCTGTAAGTTTCCGCCACATGTATTCTGATGCTGTTGTTAAATGCATGTTAAGGACTGTTACGTCTTCTTGGAGAATTACCTCTTTATTATTATGTAATGTCCTTTTTTATCTCTGATAATTTTCCTTGTTTTGAAATCAACTCTGTCTGAAATTAATATAGCTACTCCATCTTTCTTTTGATCATTGTCAGCGTGATATAGCTCTCTCTAAACATTTACTTCTTTCTCCATCCATTTACTTTTATATTAAAAGTGATTTTCTTATAGACAACATATAGTTACATCCCGTTTTTTGATCCACTCTAACAGTGTGTCTTTTTACATGGTGCATTTAGACTACTGATGGTCAATAGTTAGATTACTATCTACCATATATGTTATCTGTTTTCAATTTACTGCTTTGTTCTTTGTTCTTATTTTTGTCTTGTACTCTTTTTTTGGCTTCTGTGGTTTTAAATGGGCATTTTATATAATTCTATTTTGTCTTCTTTCTTAGCATATCATTTATATTTCTTTTTGACTATTTTTAGTGACTGCCCTAGAGTTTCCAATAAACATTTAAGCTAATCAAAGTCCACTTTGAAATAACACTATACCACTTCACAGGTAGTGTGAGTACCTTATAATAACAAAATAATTCTAACTCTCCCCTCCCATCACTCATAGCATTGCTAACATTTCATTTATACATAAGCATATATTTATACATAATTGAATATATTATTGCTGTTATTTTGAACAAACTGTAACGTGAGTTCAATAAAGAATAAGAAAAATTAAAGATTTTATTTTACCTCTTTAATCCTTCTATAACACTCTTCCTTTATTATTTTTTTTTTCCTTCCTCAGAAACTATGCAAGCAAGGGAGTAGAGTGATATATTTAAAGCG